TTCTTCTTAGTCATCATTGGTATTTTTTACAAATTTCTTGATTACGCAATAACTTGTTGCTAACACCTAAGAATTAACTTATCTTGAATTCCATAATTAATTTTCACTCCTCTCTCCTTCAAAACTTAGATATCTTGTTACCAACATATACCAGTGGATTGTTTTAATGACTTCTAACCGTTTAATTCCACCATCATCCCCGCATACCTAAAACTGATTAACTAAAATAACCATTTCATTGGTAAAATTTTGATGTAAAGGCAAGCTGTATATTAGCGTAGAGCCGATGATGGGGAACTAAATAAAAAGGAATCCATATTTCTTCACTAAATGTAGAACTTTGCACAAAATTGCACCAGTTCAAGTTAACACACTCCATGTAGCATACAAAGGGAGAGAAAAGAGATTCTAAAGTACTATAATGAGCATATATGTATGGGAGGAAGATGAATTACATGGAAAAACATGAAAGTTTAATGGATATAGATAACAAAGAGTGGATGAAACTGCACCAGTGAGAATGATTTTGAGCCATATTATGGTGAGTGCTACTGATAAGATTTATCAGTAGTATACAAAGGGAGGTCCACTGACGTAAAAACATATAACAACAAGGAGATACATTTGATGTCAGAGAAGGTAAATGAAACAGCTTTGCGGAGATAAATGGGAGACGTGAAAGGAACACAAAGTAATACAGAATGAAGGCCAGAAGTACCATAACATGAAAATCTATGCAAATTGTGAGCTGAAGATAAGGTGTACATAATCCGCTAATATATAGAGATACCAATTTCCAAATAAACATTCCTTTACCAAGTCTTTCGTCTTCTACCCTTTCAATATCACCAATAGTCTCTCTCCACTCACTAGCTCTTAACATCCCAAAACACCCCTAAACAGTGAGGCGGTCTACAACTCGTTAAATGACTGGTTCAAGCCAGCTGTCAAAGACGGATGCCAGCTTTCCGCTTGACCACATCTAACTCTTTTACAAATATGACCTGATTTCACATTCTTTATCACAGAGAAGAATAAACATTATAGGTAAACGAAGTATTTCGAAATTGCCTGAAAAATATGAAATTGGACAATAAACTGTATACTAAACAGCATCAAAAAAAATAACACTGTCTCGCTGTGCAGTGCGTGTTCAAAGGAATTTCAATCTTTTCGATACAATGAACCAGTGACAGTAAGTTCTGTGATTTCTTGGAATTCAATTCACTTTTTTATGTAGCACTGCCTATTTCAGAACTACCAAGAACCAAAGAGCTTTAGACTCCCCTTATTATCATTTCATTTTACGACTGCACAGTGCTTTGATTGTATCAGTATGATACATCAACTAAATGGAGACTAAATAACATCGATTCACATTAAACAGTGGTGTAATACTTCATTACGCAATAAGAATGTTACTGATTAGTAACCCCCAACACTTTTATGTTCTACTGTAGATAAGAATGTAGCAAGTTATAGAATGAATTTCGGTATTAATTACACAGAACTGTTAGAACATATTTCCATTGGGTAGTTTCATGCTTGTAATAAGCTGCTTATAGGTTTGTTGGTATTAGATGGTTGGAGGCAATCGGCCACAGGAAGCCTTGGACCTAGGTTTCGTGCTAGTTGGCACTCACCAGTCAGCAAGGCGTATCTGCAACCTTGAAGGAACCCATGTCCCTTTTGAGATTCAAACCCATGTCGCGCATTCCTGCAGTCACAGACGTTACCACTAAGCTATTAGGGTTCGCGATTCACCTCCTGTAGAAATTAGAGGTCTATTTGGACCAATATTATACCGAACGCAACAGTGAGACCCATGTCACTTGCGCAACCAGTGAGTGAATCTCAAGCATGCTTTTTTACAATATGATAACCACCTGGTTAAGTTTTTTTCATACTATTCCCAACTGAACTGAATATAGACTGAGATATATCTAACGACGACACACATATATATATATGCAATCGATTAGTGGCATATGAAGGTAGTGCCAAAGTCACTTCAATTTTTTTGTCTTCTTCAGAACCTCAAAATGGCATTAAGACGCCTACCGATTTCAATATGCCAAATTCTCTTGTAGTTAAGTTTAGAAAAACTTCATTTACTCCATTTTGGAACTCAACCTTCACATCATTTGATCTTATTTGAGCTTTTATGGGAGATATCTAAAGGCGGTTACCTCTTTCACTTACATAGGCAACTGCAAGCAGGTAGAGCACAGATGAGTAAGTGTCAATGGCAGAATTGGAAATCCAAGACAAACCTTCATTAATATGAAATCAGCATAAAGAACGAGACTCAGATTTCCAACACTAGTGTAAGATCAGTTCTTTTATGTGGTTTAGCAATCTACTGCCTTACAAATATGCCGAAGGAGATGCATCGGACACAAGCTGAGGAGGCTGTTGAGTGACACCGGGCCCTCCAGTGGAACCTGTATTGGAAGCAGGCGACAATTTGCGTGAGGATACGATGGTGACATAGAGATGAAGGCTTATGGGCAACAGTCAAGCCAGCTAGAGAGGACTGAAGAGAACTGGATGAAATAGAGATGTGCTTTTGACCTCCTATGTTCGACTAGAGACCCAAGAGGACAATAATAATACAACGCCCTAAAAAAACTCCACGTATTGCATAATGAAAATCGGCTCCAACATTACCCTGTCTCTCTATGTGCACGTTAATACGCTAAGATTTGATAAACAAAGATTCGGTGACCAACCTCTCCCTCCGCGTACTTATATTACCCTGTCTCACTTCAGTGTGCGATCACATGCTGATGAACTACAACACTAACTGCTTTCATTATGAATTATACATGCATAACGTGCCTTCTTACTTCATCCTCGTTTTACTTCATAAAAGTGACTCATCACCGCTGACCTGACAAATACCCTCTTCAAGGACTTTCTTCAAACGTATAACCAAATAAGGACAGAAATCAGCCAACAGATGTATGTTACAATATTTTAGAAACACCTACAACCAGAAGTGAATGACTGAAGGTGGAATCAAAACACGAACCACGCCACTACTCCAAACTCCAGCTATATACAAGCTGAGCTACGAAAAACCAACTATTCACCAGGTTATTATTTCACTGCAACCACCAAAGGCAATGTCCAGTTGCCAAGGCAATGAACTAAACGTTACTGTCTCTTAATCACTACACTAGCTGTTCGGCTAAGAGTATTCACCTACACTTGAGCTGATTATTGTGTCAAATAGTGCGGAAACCTAGTTTCTTTTAACTGGAAGAATTATGCCCTATGAACACCCCCACCTCTGAATTACATATAAAGATGATATCCAATATGTAGAGTAGTATCCTACATTTGTTAGGTTTTAAAGAAAGTACTCAGAGCGTGTAACAAATATCCAGGGTTTATAACACCAGCGATCATCTACTCACTAGAAAAAGCCCACAATTCTGAGCTTCAGTTAGTCTACCTTCATAAAATAAGAAAGTCTGCATGGATAATACACCTGAACTGACAGGAAGACTCTATAATATCCAGACCTCGCGGACGATTTATCTCCTACGTCAGCAAAAATACTCGAAGATATACAGGTAATAACTGCCAAATTGACCGAGGAAGTAGCGGAGGCACGACTTCAAATGAACAGAGAAGACCAGGGTGGAGACAACTAACCAAGAGATACAAGCACCAATCACCATCAACGGGAATCTAGACGAAGTCACTGCCTTCTCCAATCTAGGGCAGGTGTGGACAGTAGTAACAGCAGTTACCTTCCTCTCACTTAAAAGAATATCTAGTGAAATACGTAAACAAGAAACTTCAGGTCTATGAGTGTGAGGTTTAGAAGCACTTAAACAAAAGTAAATCGTGACATTAGGTCAAAAGAAAAGCCCTCAGTCTTCAAATAAGTTAACTGAATACAGCCCTGATAGTGTCTTGATGGCCAATACAAGTGAAAGTTAACGGTTGAGATAGTACCCGACAAGGTATTCACGAAGCCCGTGTGTTCTCTGAAGCGTCAGGACTGCCTAGATGACGACATGATAGACATAGGTTGGAAACGAAATTGCAGTCCTCTCAACTTCACACTAAACGGCCTCAACCCGATTCTTTTTGTGAACTCTTTTGCCAAATAGTAACAAGATTCTGGCAAAAAAAGGGATTACGATAGCGACAAAAATATATCGCTTTCCTTCTAGACATGAGAATATCACTGATAAGAATTACTTAACTAAGTTGCTTCAACATTCCACAGCCTAATCGAACACACTATAATCAAAATCCCTAACACCATTAAAATTCTTTTTTTTTCAAAATTATCCGCATACTTTGGTTACTACGAAATGTGGAGACTAGCAATAATATACCTTCTCATGATATAAATCAAAGAATTTCTTAAACACTCAGTCAACCCGTTCGTGAAAGTCGTATCACTCAATTACCGTTTCGCAACCTGAACAACTGATGAGGTTTCATGCACGAATCTGCGTAGGCAACTGACTGGGATTCAGTCCCACTATCAAGCTAGAAACCAATTTAAGAAAGCAGTAGAAGCATATACAACACGTAAAGATATTGAAAACACAAACAATCGAAGCCGTTGTTTCCTGAGACGAGTCTTAGCAAGGAGAAAAGCTTTCATTTTAAATAGCAAAATCTCCCGTTATTAGCAGAACAAGACTGATCAGTAAATTAGCTGGTAAAAGAAACCAGGTCAATGTTTTCAGTCACTCTAAGTCATCGGGGGAATCTTATCCAACAATTAAGAACTTCCATAGATATGTAAAAAGGAAAATCCTATTTCTTAAAGTCAAATATTCTATGTTTTTTTATCAAATGTACAGCTAACTAATAACTTTGGGCCTGGTAAGATCACGAGCTTTCTTTAGCCAGTTGTTCTGCTTTTTCCAATACATCTTCAATTGCTCCGACCATGAAGAAGGCAGCTTCTGGTATGTGATCCAATTCACCTACGGGGGAGAGATAAGATTAAATTTCAAGATTCATACCGTTGATGATCATTTTGAAACCTTTGATTGAATCTTTCAATGAAACCAACTTCCCTTCACGTCCGATAAAGACTTCAGCAACTTGGAACGGTTGACTCAAAAATCTTTGAATCTTTCGAGCACGAGATACTGTTAGCCTATCTTCTTCAGACAGTTCATCCATACCCAAGATAGCAATGATATCTTGCAGTGAGCGATTTTCCTGCACAATATATAATTCGTAAACTAATTTACCTGCAAAATCTTTTGCACTCCACGAGCAACAGAATAGTGTTCTTCTCCAACAATATTAGGATCCAGGATACGACTATTTGAATCCAGTGGGTCAACAGCCGGATAAATACCCAATTCAGCGATCGCACGACTTAAGACAGTTGTTGCGTCTAAATGAGCGAATGTAGTAGCAGGTGCAGGATCGGTTAAGTCATCTGCAGGGACATAAATGGCCTGCACTGAAGTAATTGATCCCTTTTTGGTGGACGTAATCCGTTCTTGCATACTACCCATGTCAGTAGCTAGAGTTGGCTGGTAACCTACAGCGCTAGGAATACGACCCAGCAATGCAGACACTTCAGAACCAGCCTGTGTGAATCTGAAAATATTATCGACAAACAACAACACATCTTGACCCTCTTGGTCACGGAAGTACTCTGCAACAGTTAGACCTGTTAAAGCGACACGAGCACGAGCCCCAGGAGGTTCATTCATTTGTCCATAAACAAGTGACACCTAGGATATTTGTCACTACTTACAGAATATGAACTTACTTTGGAATTATTACCCTTAAGGTCAATGACACCAGTAGTTATCATTTCGTGATACAAATCATTACCTTCTCTAGTTCGCTCTCCTACACCTGCGAACACAGAGTAACCACCATGAGCTCTAGCAATGTTGTTGATAAGTTCCATAATTAACACAGTTTTGCCTACGCCTGCGCCTCCAAAAAGACCTAAGGGCAAGTTACACGTTACATGTGAATCTTACCAATCTTTCCTCCTTTCACATATGGAGCCAGAAGATCAACTACCTTAATTCCTGTCTCCAGGATTTCTTGCTCAGTACTCATTTCGATGAAGTCAGGGGCCTCTTGATGAATACCTGACATCATCTTAGTGTTGATTGGCCCTCTTTCGTCAATCGGCTCTCCAATGACGTTCATAATACGACCGAGTGTCTCCGGTCCCACAGGAATACGGATAGGACCACCAGTATCAACACACTGCTGACCACGAACAAGACCCTCTGTACCATCCATAGCAATCGTACGCACAGTATTTTCACCGAGGTGTTGAGCGATTTCAAGGATTAACCTCGGAGTACGGCCTTTCACTTCCAAAGCATTGAGAATAGGCGGTAAATTCTCATCGAACTGTACGTCTACGACGGCACCAATAACTGCCACAACACGACCAGTTGAGCCTAATTTAGCAGCAGGACTGGCAGCAGCAGCCGCCCTCGCTTCTCCTGCATATCCACGTCCTTCGAGACATAGAATTATTCAGAAAAATGGGACATACTTTGTGCTGTAAGTGTGGCTGGACAAAACGATGAGAGATGAGAAGTAGGCCTGAGGAACTTCGTTACATTACAGATAGACCTCAACAAGCTTGAATGTATGTGCAATGCGATTACTGTTTACTTGTGGCGGAAGGTATGTTTTTAAAGTTCGCTTCCTTATGATAGGAAGGAAGCAAGTTTTAGTCTGGAGACGGGTTCTGTGAACTATGACGGGGTTTGTTGATATACTTGTAAGGAGCCAGTGAAAGGGGAGATTCTATCAGCTTTGGGATTTTCCCAGGCGACTGATAGTGTGCCGAAATCTGCAACCATTAGGTGCTGACACTGTAATCCCGATGAACCTAGTCTGTTTACGCGAAAGTCGTCCGCCATATGGTCAGAATTAAAGCACACTGTGATCAAATATGTTTGTCCTATGGACTTCAGTCTGAAATGTATAATTTCTTATAGTCCACTGTTGTGCGCGAGAACTCCTGTGCTACATACAGCTAGGTTCCTCTTAAGGTGGGCACATACTCTGTATCACTGACAGTTTAAATAACATGCCCACTGAACGATAAGTTTCGATGGGAAAATTTCCTTGTCATTGATTTCAGGTGTTAGCCATGACTTCGTAGTACTGATTATACCCACTATTTCCAGGTTAGGCAGACTTTTCATCCGAGTCAATTTGTTCAGCAGACCACGGTCACCAGCGTCACGCACTATTAGTTCGTCATATCTCACTGACACCTCACTATTTTCCCGGGATTATAGCTGCTGAACAAATCTTCGCTGACGGGGGAGGAATGCATCACTTCTTATTAGATAACCGCATGCTACGCGATAGGTGCAATAGGATGCATCACAGTGAGTGAGCTAGGCGAAATCCTTGAGCATACGTCGTTGCTAGCCATCATTTACACAGAATTACTCCAACAGTCACTTCCTCAAGTCTCATTAATAAGTCAAGCCTCCATCTCGTCATGATGAGAAATTTACTTTAACTCAGATAGATTAAGAAAAGTATGGTAAGCAGAATGCTAAATATATTTAATAAAAAGTAATAACAAGCAAATGTCTGTACACAATTTTTGACGTAATTATATCCGCAGTGTTGAACTGCTGTGAGCAGGCTGACTGACGTTACCGGGGTTCTGCGAATAAGTGAAAGAATTGTATCTTTGAATTCTTTGCAGTTAGAAAAAAGTAATATAAAAGTTAAACGCTTTATATTTGCCTTCCTTTAATGAAAAAGATTCACTCTCCTTTCTTATTCTTTGGTCAAGACAGCATTCTTCTGTGGTTTTTACCACCACATACATTGTTCCCCTCTCAAGCAACTCACAAAGCAAATGACGCATTGATTTTTTGGCATCACTCCGAACTTTGGAAGATGTTTCACATATCGGCACTCTTGTCGACATTTGCTGTCAATTCATTTCATTTGCGGGTGTATTTACGTTTTTATATACGTTTGTGTTTACATGTATTTACCAATTACAATCCTGTTAGCTAAATAATTGGCTCCTTTGTTACCTTCTATTTGTAATCTATGGTGACAATACCTAAATTAACTGACAATCTTAGGTACCTAAGTTATTATTACTTAGAATCTTTTGCATGTATATATGGCTTTCACTGTCACTACAAACAGCATATAAGGACTTTCATCAACGACTCTGTAATATTATGTTCATAACTGTATTTACGTTTCCTACATTGTCATTTGTAGTTAATCATGTGCCACAGAAGTGGTCATGCGATTCACACGCACGTCCAAGCATGTCAGCAGTTGTCCTACAAAAACCTTGTGAGGAATACCCCACTGATACCAGGCTTATACATGTCTACATGACCAAAACTCTTGAGAAATTTGGAGACAGGTTTGCAGCACATAATGCAGGAGAAGTGGTCACAGGGATGTGACGTTTTCTTATTATGTAAATAAACCAAATTTGCATTGGAATAAAAATAAAACTTTTCCTATGAAAATTCTTGTCTTTGACTTCGCATGCTCGCGGTGGGAGCGCGACATGCCATATGGGTGCTTCCTAATGTGAGAACTTGCGAGTATACGTAAGCCTAATCCTGTACCACAGTAACCGGTTCATATAGACTTCAGTTGAGCCTTCGCACTTCAAATCTCAGGATAGAAGTTAGTGTCTGCGGTGTAGTACTGTTGCCTCATAGGGTAAGCGCATTCAAAAGTAGTCCGTTGTTGCTGCTTCTGCACCTATTCCGGCATCCCTTGAAATGTCGGCAGAATCGTAAGTTACACTTACCAGAATAAATCGCATTATCACGTAATACGGCGACGTCTTGCACTAAAATTACTCACATATTTCATGCGAAGCGTTAATTCAACTAATATAACTAAGGATGTTAACATGGAATTTCACTTTTGCAGTAGACGAATAACTGGGTAAATTCAGCACAACACTATTTCACTTGCACTGAGCTACGCCACCGACTACCTTTTCACGTAGTATTAATAAGTCGAGTCTTCCTGCCGTCATCATAAGAATGTAATAGAATAAGACAAATGTACTCAGCAGAATGAGACTTATATTTAATAAGAAATAGTAAGAGTTGGTTCTCTGCACTCAGTTGTTAGTTATAACTATTTCGTCTGTATCGAACTGCTGTGACCAGGTTGACTGGTGCTACTGGGCTTATAAAATTCAACAAATGAAGTGTATCATTGGTCATGCTGCAATTAGAAGAAAGAAATATAAATGTCACGTAATTTTTCACTTCATTACGTCCCCTCACAACGGTACATTCTTCTTCTCCTTCTGTGGTCATAACAGCATTTCTCTGTGATTTCAACAGTCACATAAATTACCTTCTTTGTCAATGAAGCAGACATGCCTTCATATTTGGGCGTCAATTTCAACGTCTAACATGTAGTAATTACGGAGTCTTCAGTAGCACTTCTATACGATCCACGTATTTCCTTTGAATAGTTCTCTTATCAAACATTTATACCATTACCATTACTTCGCTAGGAAATCTTAAGTTGGCTTAAGTAGATTCTTCTTATAAATCGTTGGTTTATAAAATCATAAAACGTTTTTGTAACACATTGGTTTTCTATTTGTCTACAGTATTATGGAATTCTGTGGTTTTTCTTTCAGGTCCCAAGTTGTTGTTTCTGAAGTCATATCTAAGTTTTCTAGTTACAAATTTATCTTGAAAAATGTGCCTGTCGTAAAAACCGTCGTGGGAGATTCAAGCGTCAGTTTCCAGTTAAGGAAGTTTTGCAGTGTGACATTCGTAGCCATTAGTTCCATATTCACCGTACAGCATATACACCAACCAAAACCCTGCTGCAAACCACTTGTACGCAGATTGTCAAGTGATCACTGCAGCTCTATAAAGTATTTTAATAAAGAAGGCATTGTTATGCATAAGAGGGATCGAATATTTCAGGCTGCAAAGGTTCTTTCCTACAGGAGATGGCCAACCAGTGCTTAGACACTCGCACAAAAAGCGTCGTTAATAGGACCGTACGTATGCTGGATGCGTCGCTGTCTGGGGATGAAGAGCCATCGTCAAAGGGCTGTGGGGTCCCCAGAACAAAAACGCTACAGATACTCAGATGTTTTGCAATGGGAGATAATGCAGGTGGTGACGAGCCTTATATCATGGAAAAACGCTTCATGTGTACATGTTTTTAACCACATTAAAAGTCGGCTAGGTTGGTGGAAAATAAACTGTTTTCTCTGGTTGGTGGTTGAGCGAGCATTAAACAATGGAACGAAGTGAGGCCGTTCCCGAACCACAAAGTAAACTGAATCCAGATTTCAGGAATAAATGGTTCTAGTCCTGCAGCCACTGTCTTAAAATATTGATTTCAATTTTTGGCCGCTTCCTATGAATGTGTATCTACATAGCAAATACCACGCTATTATGGGATTATGGAATCCATAGGATGAGACCAGTAACCAAGTAGGAACTGTTCCTTCCTTATGATTTGTGAGGCTTTCTTCATGTAGTGAGTGGTGAATGTTCTTTCGTGAGTCTGATTAAGTTTCCCGCTTCACTTGCCCACTGCCGTGCTTTTTGAAGACGAAGTTGTAGGTATGCACTTAGTCTTATACAATATTAGGTCAGTAATTTTGGCAATTATTTTGATGGAAAATTCGGCATTAATGTGTTATATCAGCCATTGACCCAACACCGACCTTGTTGCTTTTGAACGCGATAATACCATAGGTTTCCATAACGAATCCGTACTAGGAGGATGTAGGCCCAATTCAACTAATAATATTATATATAATATATAACATTCATTTTTATTTATTTTTTTATTTTGATTTACAGCTTGATTCCACACCGTATTTTCAGTACAAGTATGGAATTTTCAGCATGGATATCGGTAGCCCAAATTCAGGCCGACCATAGATATCGGGTGTGCGCCGGCAGGGGATCGAACCCCGGACCATGTGCATGGTCGGCGAGAGTCCTAACCACTGTGCCACCGACGCACACATATAGTATACAATATTAATTTTATTTCTGGAACAAAAACCAGCCATTTTTACAGGCATGAACAAATGTACACTAATTAGAACTTATAGAATATATATGATTTGTTAATCTAGAAATAGATTGAATACTGGTAAATTTGAGAGAAATATTTAAAAAGAAATGTACAAATAAGGCAATAGGTAATTTTCGAGATATGCTTTCAACTGAATAATTCATGAGATATAGCATCAAATCAAAACTGTAATTGAAAAAAAATACGGTATGTCAATTTCACGCGGGAATTATAAACGATTACGTTAATTGTGGAAGGTAAGTAGCATTTTTGTACAGGTGCTGACGTGACATAAGAGATGCGGAATGAACAGTAATTGTAAGTAAATGATTCATAGAGTGTTTGAAAGTCCATAAAACTTCAAAATCACCGGTAAGTACACCA